TTTAACCCCAGTACTCTTTTCTGCCATGGCAAGGGGTCGGACTAGATGACCTACTCAGGTCCCTTCTGACCCTAGAAACTATGAAACTATGAGAAGCCTGAACTGAAAGGTGGGTGAATGAAGCTCACCAGGTCCGCCTGTCCTGACATAAGGGCAGGTGACCTCTAAGCCTGAGAGATTCGGGGTTTTCTCAAGGGGTTGGGCCTGAAGCAAAGGGCACCCCAGTTACTCCATAGAGACCCATCTTAGGTTGGGTCAGTTACCCATGTTGACTATTTGTTTTCTGTTGCCAAATGCTGGAGAGACTCCGACATGTAGGGGCAAGTTGAGTAATTGGTCCTTAATGTCACTAACCGAATAGACCACACACACCTGGCAACACCACAGCTAGTGTGTGGATGGGGTGTAAGGAAGGCAGAGCCCCAGATCAATGGGAAATCGCACTGTGAGTAACTTGTGAGGCACAATTGACTCCTCCATATCTTTATTATAACAACTAAGGCTTGGTGGCCATGTGAAGTGCCCCTCCCATGGGGAGATGCATCCTTCAGGGGAAGCAGTCCTGTCACAGTAGGTTTGTACCAATGTAGCAGTGCTTAAACAGGCTTATTATTGTCCCCTAATTACTTCCAACCTCAATTCCTAAGTGTATAAGCCCACACACACAGGCTGCAAATTGGGTCTGGTGAGGGGCTGATGGTCAATGATAGTCTATTCACCTTTCATTTGAATTGAAATTTGATTCAAACCGTGTGATGCAAATCAGTTAACACAGTTTAGAAAATCGTGAGCATGTCAACAAATGGGCCCTGATATAAAATGGAATCCTTAGATGGGGTCACTGTCATTGTCTCCACTTGAAGCAAGCAATCATTGTACATTTTCTGGGACAGACCTGGACTCTGGGATAGTGTCCTGGTGTTCCAGAGCATCCCTGAAAGCACATTTAGTCCCAAACTTGGAAAACTGGTCCCAGATCATCAGTTCCCCCTTTGCCAGCCCCGCCACTGAAATGTGAATGCTCTCACATTTCCAGACAACATTATGATGCACCTGCCAAGAGGCAGAACCAGTAGCAGATCCAAGGTGCTGCAGAGCGGGGTGTGGTTGCAG